TTTTAATCTGGATAGTTCCTCCAAAGTACCATCAATGTATGATTCTAGATTCAAGTTGAAGGTAGGTTGGGGATTCCAGTTTGAAGGCAGTTGGAACCGGGGTGGATGAGAGGGTCTAATTCTCCCTGCCATCTTGAATGTTTTAATCTCACTTTTCTAAAGAAAGATCGAGAATGGCGAAGGATATTTGACCTTATTGGTTATTTGGGGGTTGGAATAAAGTTCAAGACTCAAAGCAATCAGTTCAATGTTACAGAGCTGACTGTTGGAAAGGTTATTAACATATGGCAAACATTTGCCTGCAGCTCAACGGAGATCACCTTCGCCCGATTTCTATTCTTCTTGCTAATTTTATGGGATGAAAAGATCTTTCCTTGGCTGCTTTATTTTTCTGATTTTTTTTTTACTTTTACTTTAATTGAGTCATCTCGCCAAGCTCAAGCAGATTCTATACTATTCCTGATAAGTGTATGCTGATTTAAGTCTGAATGAGAGCGTGGATGGAGGTAGATATGTTTTGGATGTCATGGCAGTACTGGGGTTTATGTGCGTATAAGGAATTGGGGGAGGTTACTGGGCATGCATATCGGCCGTCGCCCGTCGTCTGTCGCATTTTGCTTTTTGTTGTGTCTCAATTCTGCCATTTACCAGTTCCAAACATGCCATTTTCCGTCGTCAGTCGTGCGTCGTGCGCCGCATATCAAATAGGTTGCATAGGACCTGCAAAAGCCGGGGTTTGACAAATGATAATGTGATGATTCCATTCACTTCTAAAGATCTTTTCCAAATAAGGCNAAAAAAAAAATGTTCCCGGTAAAAAGGCATAAGAAACACACTCTATTTAGTAAAAACGGGAAAACTTACTAAAAAATAAAAGCCAGGCTGTGCAAAAAGCAACCTTTGCACAAATTATCAAACGACTTGGGAAATTGTTTCGTAACTATTTGCGAAGAATTCTTTATATTTCATTAAAATAAAACAATTGCATAGACGTCCTTTTGCTGGGAATTTTTTACGACCTTCTTCCGGGCACCCGATGTGTTCTGAGCAGTCAATGCATGACTCTAGATTCAAGTTGAAAGTAGCTTGGGGATTCCAGTTTGAAGGCAGTTGGAGTCGGGGTGAGTGAGAGGGTTTAATTCTCCCTGTCATCTTGAATGTTTTAATCTCACCTTTCTGAAGAAAGATCGAGAATGGCGAAGGATATTTGACCTTATTGGTTATTTGGGGGTTGGAATAAAGTTCAAGACTCGAAGCAATCAGTTCAATGTTACAGAGCTGACTGTTGGAAAGGTTACCAAAATATGGCAAACATTTGCCTGCAGCTCAACGGAGATCACCTTCGCCCGATTTCTATTCTTCTTGCTAATTTTATGGGATGAAAAGATCTTTCCTTGGCTGCTTTATTTTTCTGATTTTTTTTACTTTAATTGAGTCACCTCGCCATGCTCAAGCAGATTCTATACCATTCTTGATCAGTGTATGCTGATTTAAGTCTGAATGAGAGCGTGGATGGAGGAAGATATGTTTTGGATGTCATGGCAGTACCGGGGTTTGTGTGCGTATAAGGAATTGGGGGAGGTTACTGGGCATGTGCCATTGACAGGTCACGCCACTGCCAAACATGACCACCACTTGACAAACTAAGGAATGGGGGGGGGATGTTTAGGATTCTAAAGCCATCGTTGCGTTTTTATTATGATACGTGTATTTGACAATATGAGTAAGGAGAAGCCCGTGCTCCTTGGGTTTTGTCTCTGAGAAACAGGGTCATTATACTCTCGTTATTTAAATATCTTAAGGACTGAGAGGTGACTGGTTATAGGTAATCGCAATGATAAGTGGATTTAAAAAAAAATAAGACTTAGTTCAAATAGGAGGAAGTACGTTTCTTTTTATTTTTTTTCAGAATATTACAAAAAGACAATTCTATCCTCTTCGTAGGTTCTAAGTGCATGACCCGTGCGGGGGTGGTGAACTTTTGAGAGCCAAGATATAAATTCTTGTTCCAACCTTATTCCAGAGAATTACTTTCTATGATAATTGTGTCTACGACCCAAGGCCAAAAACAAAATAATAGCAATGACCAGAAGACAACCATCATGGAACCACAAGTGGTGCCTATTGCCTTACATTTGTACATGTGATGAAGAACACTTGGTGCAAGGGCGATGGGAGGAACTAATAAGTAATTTTCGCCTCACCAGTTTTGGGTGAAGGCATCTACCCCAGATGTTCCAAATAAAAGGTTCCAGAATCTGCCCCCCCCCCAAAAAAAAAATCAAAAATTACCTTGGCGTTATAAGCAAGCAAAGCAATCAAACGTATAGGAACCCCACTTTTGGGTCAGAATTTGAAATGTGTGTCAGAATTTGGATCAGTCATCAGCATTGACAAGTCTGCTCACGATGTCTGTTTGTTTCTTCTCAGTCCTAGGAATCCAGTCAAGCTTCTCGTTTGGCATGTTTTTTTTATGCAGCATCGAAAAATGTCTGCAGCAATCATGTGAAAAGTGAGACACAGTCAGCTAGCTTGCCTTGCTATTGTCTATAATCTTTTTGTTTTCTCTCATGGATAATCTCTTCTATTTCTCGAATTGATTCGATGGCTCCGTCTGCGTCCACCGTCTTGATAAGGGCTACCTTGACGTTATCGAGGATAAGTTCCAGCTGTCCGCAGAATTGGTATTAGCCCCCCCTGGATATTGCCTGGTTTAATGAGATCTTTAGCTTCAAGTTTGAGTTCTTTGAGTTCAGAATTATCCTTTGTTTCCAAAATTGTCAGAGTGCTGAATTTGTGGTCAAAGTAATCTTTGAATTAGAAAAAAAAATATGCGGATCGAAATGTTCTTTTTGCTCTCAGATTCAGTATCTCTGCGTATTGCACGAGCGCGGCGTAGGACTCATTGATGTGTGTTAGGCCTGAACTGATGGGCGTCGTTTAGGACGCCACTTATAATTATTGTCATGTGACGCATCATTTGAGTCAGCTGGAAAAAAGTGGTTTGAATGGGGAGTAAAGTGGTAGTGAATGACGCCAAAGGAGGCCCTCTGTTAGCCAAACGTTTCAAATTATGTTTGGTCACGGCTTCAAAAAATAAGCATCAACATTCGATTGAAATAAATTTTTCATGCCTCCTCCCCATACATGACTCCTGTTTTAGGGAAGAGGATCTGCCATTTTATGAAGGAAAGTGTATTGGATCACAGAAATTGATGTTACGGAGGCTACCTGTCCAGATGGGTTGTCTCTTACGGTGTTGAAGGAATGTGCCCGTCAGATAGTCTCTCCTGTATGTCACATTTTTAATTTGTATGTTAGAACGCAAGAATTGCTCTTACATTGGCCCAAGGCCAATGTTGTGCCTCTTTTTATTTGTTAAAGGTTGGTCCACAGTCACTCAGGAAATTAGTCGCATTTTGGACAGAGCTGGGCAGGTGAATATGATTTATTCGAATTTTTCCGAAAGCTTTCGATAGCGTGCCACTTATTCACAAACTGAAATCCTTCGGGTTTCATTCAGAGCTACTTGGCTGGTTGAGATCCTATTTACAACAGAGTAGTTGTGGATGGATGCAGTTCTGAGTGGCTACCAGTTACCTCTTGTGTTCCACAGGGCCCTGTGTTGGGGCTTTTGCTTTTCATTTTATGTGTTGATGCAAGCCTACCTCTGCCCACCACTCCACATTAGCATTACTTTTAGCATTACTTTTATAAAAGATTTCAGTTCGGTTTTGGCCACACTTTTTCAAAAAGAAAAAAAAAGGATCTGCTCCTTTTCATCTTGTCTGCCCCCTCATGCCCCTCGCCTTCCCTGTCCCTCTTGTCTTTATTTAGCTAGTTTAGTTTCTTCTGTCTTCTGGTGGTAGGATGGCGCTGTAGAGGTGCTGGACACCAGTTTTATCTTATAACATAGTGGCTTGATCACTTCGGTCAGGATGGTTTTTCTCTGTCTCTTATTTTGCTGTTTTGTATTTTTGTTATTTTTAAGGATGTTATGTAACACTTATTAAATATGTTGTATATTTTGTACTGTTTTTATATGTTGTCCACCAGTGGAAAGCGTAATAAAATAACATTAAAAAATCAGAAATAAAGCTGTCACCGTTACTGACGCTCTGCCTCAACGAAACCGTGAAAAAAATTCAGTCTCTAAGACAAGTGCATCATAGACTCTGCTCAAGGCTCAAACGCAAAACAAATCCCATGTGAGGACAAATGATTTGTAATTATCAAAAGTAAGAACATCCTATATTACTGAGTCTTCCACCTCGGCAAATATTTCTACAAATGTGTGTTTCAGGAACTTATTTGAAACAAAACTTTCAATCTGTCAATTCAATGTAGTAGTTTTTAGAGAATGAAATTGACCTGACCTAGCTTAACCATCCCTAAAATGAGAGTAATGAACATTCCCCTCATCATCTCCAACCATTACAAATTCTTGGGGGTGTTAAAATTGCGGAGTTTATACTTTAACGTCTTTGGCCTTTCCGGGGGGATGCTATATTTTGGGGCTTTTTAAGTGCTTTGGGAAGGAAGAATTACCAGCATGGGCGTAATTCCCGGAGGACAGCGGTGTACCGGTACATCCCCCACTTTTTGAGGTAGGGGTGGGCTATTGAATCAGCCCCCAGACACTTTTTGTGTTAGCAAAAATATCAAATCGTATTGTGAAGAATTTGTCAGACTTCCAACTACTGAAATGCATTCAATTTCACTCACAAAGGGAAAAGAATTTAAAACACCCATAGATATGCCATTCTGAATACATAGTACATATGTATATCATAATCATGATCATGGACCTCCATACAAAGTCATATGGCTCCAACCCCTCCCCCTTTCAATTCTCATGGCCGAAAAAGTCACCTCCCATCCTTTTTCATCCGACGGAACCAAATGATGGAGTGGAAAACAATTTGCTCACAAGATGCACACTATGTCAGCACAACCTCTCATGGACACCCCTTTCGTTCTTTTTTTCTTTTTTTTTAAAGCCATCGCTGGGCTTAATGAAGTTTCGGCTAAGCATTGCTACTTCGGTCAGGAGCCGGACCCAGCTCACAACGGGAGACTTCGCTGGTTGATTCCAGGAACACGCGAGGATCACTGCTCGTGCACCAGCATCCGAATTGGAGGTGTGAACCCCATGCCCCAAAATCGACCCTACAACCCGAACTTCACGGACAACCCGCTGTTTACCAAGGACGTGAAGAAAATACACGACTACTTTGGATGCCCTGGTAAGCATAATGTATTTTCTCAATTATCATGCCTTTTGTCATACCGCTATTTGAAGACCGTCACGGCAGTGGAACCTACTTTCTTTTACAAAATGCTGGTTGCGTTCAAATAGTTTGCTTGTGTGCGGAATTAACACTAGTAAAAAAACTAAAGTAAAAGGAACTAACAAGAGTCTCGTTTCTCCTCGTCGTTTTGCTTAATAAGTTATACAGTGGGCGCCCAGACCGTTATTATTCTAATCATTAATTTGTAACTGAAACACAAATATCATTCTATTCGTTAAGAATGGCCATGTACTTATTCATGTCAGCTTCTGCCTTCAGTTTTGAAATGAAAGTGAATACAATTCTTCAACACCAAAAGGTTTAAGGGTTTGGGTGATTTGTGATCAATGTATCTGACTTTAATAAATATGAGGAAAAGGAAAAATCATGTTGAGTTCTTAAAGCACACAGTAAACCATACACACTTCAGTTAGAACAACTCATTGTCACAGTTGAGCACTGATCATGTTTAGCTCCGGTGATTTGAGTGTAGGGGACTACAATCCGACTACCCACTGCTACTTATAAGTAGGGCTTGCACACCAAATACTCCAAGATATAAGAAGGTTGGTATCATAGGATTGTAACATGGACGTTCGGCAGACTTGTAAGAATGACATGAAAAGCGCCCCCACTTGCCACACAACAGAGAGTCCCTGCCACGATGCACAAGCTAAAACTAGTCCAGCTTACAAGTGCGCCGAACGTAGTCCATGCTACGATCCTAAAATACCAACCTGCTTATAGCATGGCGTATTTGGTGTGCAAGCCCTACTTATAAGTAGCGGTGGGTAGTCGGATCGGGTGGTAAAGTTCAGTCATATCTTCACGACAAGACTGAGTTCAAATCATGTTGATTCTTAAAACATAGTTGACATAATTATTCGCTTCAGTTACAGCTCCATGCCACAGTTAATCGGCAGTCATGTTACATGTATTAACTCAGTGTGGGATGTTAGAACTTCAGATTATCACGACATTTTATCAGAAAAGAAACACTGTAAAATAGTTTCAACATGGAGTCCATGGCAAGGTTCAAGTCACAAAGACTTGTTAAATGTAGTTTAAGACATGTACATGGCAAGGATGAGCATGTTGATTCTTTGAAAAGCTTAGTAAAATACATTTCAGTTGCAACTAGATGCCACGGTTTAGCATGCATGCATACATGAAAATTATATCAGTAAGAGCGTGGAACAGTAAATCACCAGTCTGTGTCTGGTCTAATTTTAAGGGAAAATGTGTTTAAGTGCACAAAAAGCAGTTATTTTTTCATACAAAGACTAGCATTTGTTTTGGCAAAAGGAAATATCTTGAATATGTATTGTTATGTCATGATAATAGAAACTGCACTGAATTGAGTACGTGGGGATATACTTTCAAATTACAGATTTGCATCCTGGCAGAGCAATGTGTCTTTGATATGGTTGGTTTTGAGTTGTAAAAGTTCTTTCCGGGAAGTGTTCCGAATAGTTCAGTTTATATAAACCTTTCTGCTAAATGCTCATTGAAGCTTCCGAGAAGTAATGTTTACCACGTAGAAGCCAGGGTTTTTATGTAAGAGCAATAACGATACCACATCATTTTTAATATGAGATACATTGTTCTGCCAAAGGAAGTCACTGGATGTACTTCGAAATTAACAGAGTAACTCGGATGAAAACTAACTTTGTACAATTTTCTAACCATGCTCAATGGAAGAGTGCCCTCAAATTACCCAGGTTTCTCCTATTTCACAACTGCATGGAACAAGTTTTGTACTAAAAAACTCTAAAATGATTGTTATGAGCGTAGGTTACCAAGTAATTAAAATGAACACAGCGATTAATTAATTAGCCGCATTTGCATTAGTAAAGATGAAATCGTGAAATCAAAAATCCACGTTTTTCTGTACATTCTGCTCTTCTTTTCAAAAGGACCTGTGGTTAAGTGCAGTCAGTTGTGAATGTAACAACGATGTGTGATTCTTCGTGAAAACGAAAGTCTCAGTTGAACTCCATATCGAATAGTTTTTGTATCGCTATGTCTTTTTACCACGATGCACCATTGACGACCTTAGTGTGACCATTTAATGGAATTTACATTTGGGTTCCAAACCCCGTTTGTCCATTACACTGTAGTGAGTTTGACATTCAACTGATCCGCCAAATCACACAACATTCTCTCTCATTTGGAAAGGACGAATGAAGTGTAACAAGGTACTCTATCTTTTCCAAGTTACTTGAAATAAAAGCAATCATATAGACGGCACGAAATGTACAACCGGCCAAGCAAATCGTTGCGTCATTCATCGTCGTGTGATTAGTCGCTCGCCATACCATAATAACGACATGCATGGCGTGCGATAATGCATTTTCACTGCAAACAAAATGTCATGACTTATTGGCCATGAGCGGAAACAACCCCTTATCAATTGAACAGCGCCAGTTTAGTGGGCAGCCTCGAGCGCCATCTTGCAGGCATGCACGACTGCGAGACGTAGTTTTCGTAATCGCTCATGAACCAGCAAAATGCAGTTTCCATAGAAGGAGCTTACGTTGCTGCATGGGAAAATTTGTGTCGTCTGTTGGTCTCGTTTGGACAGAAATAAACTGCTTAACGTCTTTCGTTCCTCCCTGTAGGTCCTGCTGACTGCCAGGAGTGGTTAGATGCAGGGTACAATACCAGCGACGTGTACACCATCTACCCAACGCAGTATCAAAATGGCTTGCAGGTCTACTGTGATATGAAGAAGGATGAATCACGTTGGATGGGCCTCCAGGGAGGTTGGATTGTAAGTATCTCTTTCTATAACTTATTCTTTTGTTTATATCTTTTAATCTTTTAACTTCATCAGTACCAAAGAAAATGAAAAATTACCATTGAATTGCTAGAACTTTTTGAGTAGGCCTACTCCGTAATGTGACGAGAGATTAAAAATCAAAACGAAACTTGTTGGCAGTCCCCGTTTATTTGAACTTGCAAATGTTACCACTTCTCTAAACTGAGCAGTTTCGTCATGATGTTAGTGAGGACTCCAGGTAAAGATACCTCAGACACATGAAAATGACTTGAAACCAGTTTGTAAAATTCGAGCTTGGGTATTTACAATTACACATTATGGACACTATTTAGAAGTTAGGAGAATAATGGGTACTTAAATTCGAAATGATAATCGTCCTATAACTTACTACGTGTACATTAGACTAGATTTTCGAGAAGACTACTTAATTATGGAAAGTTGGTAACTTCATTACGTTAATCAAACTCAGTAAGTCCATGATAAATGAGATAAAACTTTATTAGTCAAGCCGAATCGGCGCTAAAGAGGTCTGTTCTATTTACCATACGCGTTCTGCTGCGAGATAATGCATAATAAATCAAACGCAAAATGTAATGAACAAGTATGACTATGAAAACAAGATTAATTAAAAGTCCTCCGAGTGAAAATTAATTATAGCCCATGTACGTATACATACAAATTTTCACAATAATTATGGACAATTTTCAACACCATCAAAAACTAGCTCCACTTACTAATAAGAATTTTTATGGACGTCGAACAGACCTCAATATTTCCCTTTGAGTAGTAGGGCCTGTGCAGCTAAATGCCAATATATTTATTTAAGTGGCACCAAAACACAGGAGGAAAAGAAATGAAGGCCTACCCGGAAGGTCTGACATCGTTCTTACTTGGGGTCCTTTTATTTTTTCTTTATATATTTTTTACTTGTTATAAACATTATGATATTATTTAATTCTTCAATTTATTATGGTTTGTTAAATACCTCCGTTCAGATCAATGTAAATAGGTTTGTCTTTCTTGCAAATGACCCATAGGAGTCATAATGCCCTTCTCAAGCTTCAACTGATGTGCCAAATATAACCCGTCGGAGCAATCTGTATGCTCACCGAACGACCTTTAGAATATTTACTTAGAGTCTTTGAATATGAGTTTCACACCAGCGCCAACATTATACCCTTGCGTACATTGTCTAGTTTTAACACGTTGATGTTCTTATTCGATATGGGCATTTCTCCTACCCGCAATATATAAGGCTCCAAAGCCAATTAGCCTTTTAGAGGTATGGCGGACACAATAGGAGGGCGCTATTAGGTTTCGGTAAAATCTTTTGTGCATGCTCCAAATTTACCACTTCAAACAGCGCCCCCCTTATTGTGTTCGCCATACTTCTACAAGGCTAATACGAACAAATTCCTCCATAATGTTCTTGGTACAGTGATTTTTCCGTGATCTCCAAAGCACTAGTAATCTTATGCAATATCAAGACAGAGGTAATCGTTTGTCTGCATGGGGTTTACCCTTCTTAATGCCATCTATGTCCTTTTGTACTAAAAATGCCCTACCCGGTGCTGGCATGTCATATAAGCAATGGATATAATTTGAAACATACACAAACGTTTGAATTGTACCAGCTGCGTAATTTGCTCAATTTAGGTAGGTTACAAAAACGTCATTTCTTTCGGCGGGACTGGTAACCCCCCCCTAAAAAAACTCTTCGGTTTCTGGTGAGCACGTGCGTCGCTGTAGTCATGCGCGTCGACAAACTAAAAAAAAAGTAATTTGATTTTGTATTAAACGGTGTCAACAAGCTGCCAAACCTGCTTGATTGACTGGAATCCTGCTACTTCGTAATTTTAACGTGTTTTAGAAGGCCTACGGTTGAGTAATGTGTACGGTAAAGGAGTCCCTTTAGGCACCCATACATTTAGTCAGGCACTCTTTTTAGATGACGTCATTTCTGTGCTAAACATTTACATTTGGGAACCAGACAAGCTAGGTGGTCTTATGTCCTGTGTACCTCTTCAAGCTGAAAACGCTTTCAATCAGTAAATAGTGAGGGGCAGTCTATTCCAGTGTTGGCAGTGGCGGTAGGCATTACAAGCACACGTGTCATTTTTAGGGAAAAAGGAGGGGAAAAAGTCGCGTCCCCACACCACATTTGGAGTCAACCCCTGACTAGAAACTTGAACCTTTTTGGCCTGGTATTTTGAAAGTATTTTTAAAGCATTCAAGTATTTTGAAAGTATTCACCACGAAATGTCACCAATGTGGTTTGTGCACTTTGATAAGTCTTTGTGTTTGCATCAGTCATTTATTTGGATATTAATTTCAAAAGGCCGGGAACTAAGTCTGAGGCCGTATTTCCACTGCAGGTGGCACAGGCTTATGTATCCTCGCTTATGTACCATGTTTTGAAAAGTGCAACCTTTTGGCGAGAAAGATTGTCTGCTAAGATATTAACGCAACCAGGCACGTGAACAAATTTGAACTGAATGTTTACGCACCAGTAGGCCTATAATTACCTTCTCGTCCTTAGATGTCTTGGAATTACATGTAATGGTATTTAGTAAGGTCTCGTTATCTTTATTGGGTAAAACCCGTTTAGTTACCCAATAATATCCCCAGTCGTGTACTGCTGCGACATTTGGGTGATGTTTTGGTTGCACCAGGAGTCAGGCCAACTAACATTAAACCATGGTTTGCTAATATATATATATATAGATCCAAACCCAAAGAACCTGCTGCATCTGTTAATAAGTGTAACGTGAAATGACAACCACTGGTCCGAAAGAAAAAACGAATTTCCATTAAATTGTAAAAACTACAGCCACATCTGCAGGTCTACCTTCGCTTGCAAAGTCAAATATATGAAAAAGTTGGGGTTCTTAATACCAATAATTAATTCACCTTCTTAAGAATATACGACCAGGCATTACAACCTTAAATGCAAAGTCGCGAAATCTGATGATTGATTGCAACTCTCGGAAAATACGCTTCTTCTTCATTAAAGCGTCAGCCATGTTCTGTGTTGCCTCAGCTATTCTATCAGCCAGCATTCCAAATGTATATATTTAAATACCAGCCAACGTAAGGCACGTTGTGGGCCCTTCTGTCTTTTTTGGGTGCAAGAGGGATGGATACCTAGGGCATTACATATTGATTGAAAACCATACAGGTCTTGTCTGCGTTTTTGTTTAGATTCGGAGATTTGCAAAAAGTCATAGTGAATGTACCATACCCCGAGCGCCGCGAACCCTCTTTAGCTATCCATTCAACTGCAGTGCTAAATGTTTCAAATATGGCATGACTAGATCTGCAGCTCATGGCAAAAGTTTTATTGTAATAAAATTGATCCAATGTGAAACCTAACAATTGGTGATCATCAGGGTGCAAGGGTATGATCTTAAATTCCGATTTGATGTCGACTTCAGACAAAAAGCAGCCGGATCCAATTCTTTTTATGACACAAGTAGCGTCATCCGTGGATGCATAATCAACTGTTGTATTACTACATGTATCTGGTATACCTTTGTTCACAGAGCCATTTGTTGGGTAAGATGAAAGCTGGTTGATACAACATGAGCCTGGTTGCTTCTTTGGAATGAGTCCGATTGGACTTACACGAAAATCCAGCAATTCGTCCCCTAGCCAATTCTAAATTCCAAACCACTTCGTAAAACTCAAAACCTTTTTTCAAGTTATTGGACCATGTTGGACGTTTCAATACATTAGTTGGACAGAATGATGTTCTCTTAAGATATTTTCAGGGTTCTTCTGGTTTTGTACAGAGGTGTAAACGGGCCAGGACCAAAATCAAAATTTCTAGCGGTATCTCTCTGCGGCGTGTAACATCTGGCATCGAGATAGATGTATTATGCGATGGATAACTTTAAGAAGTTAGCTGATTTGTCCTGCATCCAGGATGTTTCTTCGGTGTAGGATTTCGTTGTCATTCTAATGGTTAAGTAGGTGAGACCTTCCCCGACTTCTTTTTCAGTTTTAGTAAATTGATTGCGAATAACTGGCAGTGGCTGGATACAATTGTTAGTTAACTAGGCGTCCACGTTTGTCTGGCGAAATGGTTCCATTTCCGAAGAACTGGTTAACTACAAACGGATTTCTACCTTTCCCTTTGGTAATTATTCCTGGAGTTTTTCTATCAAGTTTTGAATACTGGATAGAATTGGTGCCGACGGAAAAGAGAGGCAGGGTTTTCACCATGGAGCGAGTAGGGGATAGTATTAAGTGTGTGTGTGTGTGTGTGGGGGGGGAATTTCTGTTCAATCTGTTTACCGACGTTCATGCAGCAGTAGCAATTTTCTTCTGTTCCTTTCTGCGGTTGTGAATTTTACAGTGAGATTCAGGTGCGTGCATCCCTATTTCTGGCTTGTATATACCATGGGCCAGAGCCAGACCAGATCCACACCTGCAACGGCTTTGGTTCATCACTTGCTCCGTCAGGGCTATGGGCCAACATGTCCACGCCACAGAATTGTTTACATATTTTGGATGTGACATCAATTATGCCTGCTGCTCTTCCTTTGACATCCTTCGCCTCTGGTGCTCGCTTCATCAACCCTTTGTCAAAGAGACAGTGGGCTGCGGAATAAAGGTCTCAACTTTAGTATCACGTTGAGGAGAAGTACCGGTACATCTTGTGTGTACTCCACGGATGATATCTCTGATGCTTTTAGCAGAGGATGGGCGAAGGATCGATCCGAACATTACACACAATGTTCCAAAGGCGCATTCTAAGCTTCTGATGGTCGGCTTTGGCAACAATTTAACAATCTTGTTGACCATCTATTTTGAGGACATCCCTGCTACTGTGTCACTCTGCTCCCTCTACTGACACTTGACCACGGACGTATACATGTATAAAAAAGTGGACTTGCAACGACTTTGTATGAAATAGAAGCCAACCAGCGGCCATTTTACCGAGCCGAATACAAATGCGCGGGCTGGCTCGCTTCTATTGACGCCAGGGATTCAATGATCTCTCGCTGATTAAGATCATTACGGATCCAGATTTTTTTATATATGTCCGTGCGCCTGATAGGAAGAAACAGGCTCTCAGATCACCCTCAAGCTGATGGTCGATGGGCAAGGGGATTCCGTCCTGGACCAGCTTGGAGAAGATTCAGAGACCGACCATGCAACACTCAGCCAACCGGACCAACTTTTGACCGTGAGATGCGGGCACGGCAGTTTGAGCAGTTCGTATCCTACTGTACGGCATGGGTGATATTACGTTCGTCATAATGGATAAGAGATCGATGATGATGAGGGTGTGTATCCACAAGGCTCCTTTTCTTAGAGCTTAGCTACGACGCGGAAGGATTGAGCTGACAAGTTTTCCGTTGAAACTTAGTTTACAAAGTCATAACGATCGCCGGCAGCACGCACGATGTTAAGAAATAAACAGTTATGGACAAGACGGAGTGTAACGCTGTTTAACAAAACAATAGAAACAAAACGTGACCCACTATTCGCAAAACAGGGTGAAATAGTTTAATTGTAATTTTTTACAATTCCTCTTCCTGCTATTTATTTCCTACTTCAGACTGATTCACAGTGTATATCTGCGGTAGGCCGTGGTAAGTATAAGTAGTAAAGGTTGTGGGTTTTGCTCTTTTTAAATGAGTACTGCTATCCTTTCCAACAGCCAAGAAGCCCCTATTCTGTTTGGTATTGGAGTAGTGGGCTACAATGGTGGCATGTTCGAGATACAATTCACATCATCGGTGAAAAAACAAGACCCGGTTATTTCTGGCAGTTGAGGTGGATCTTCAGGTCCAAGGATTTCATCCGATGTCACCGAGTTTGTTTCATTCTGTTAGTCCTGAGGAGAAAGTGGTCCCAATACCTGAATGTGGTACTCGAGAGACATCGCTGTGAGTGTGTTTGTGGACCCACTACAACACCGGACGGTTGGTGAAGTTTAACATGATCCAACTTTGTCGACTATCTGCGTCCGTGGCATGTGTTTCCAGTTTCATGATGGAGTGTTTCCATATGACTTGTTAGTCTGGATAGCAAACCCGATGATTCTGACTACTCTACGAATCAAGAGTCCGGTAGCATCCAATGTCCACGCAACCAAGACTGGGGAAATTCCTAAACTTTTTGGAAAACATTCCTAAGTCGTCCCGTAGATATTCGGCATATTCGGTTGGCACCGTTGAGGTTCGGTTATTCCTGGCCGGGTAGGCCTAAGTAGGCTAGCTGTTGAACTTCCGGCCTGCGTGGTGAAAACAACCTGAGGTGAACGCACGTTTGCCATGCGAAGCAACGTGAAGTGCATTGTTTTCATCTCGCACTGACTGATTTCACGCAAAGTCACGTCCTTGATCCTACAATATTTGACTTTACACAGAAATCGAAGGTCGTCTTCGCCAGAAACAATACCAGGCGAAGTGTAGACCAATGCAGGCTTTGTGCCTGAAACATGCTCTCAGTGGAGATACACTTACAGTATTGTCCACTGGATATGGAAAAAGCCTCATTTTTGAAAAAAACACCCGGATTCTCAATTTGTTACCCTTGACCCTTGCCTCACACCAATGATAAATCTTTTTATCAAAATTATTTTAAAAATGCAACTCTCAAAGGTGTCCAAGCTGGACAGCAAAATGATGTTCGACATAGTTCTCTTTCATTTTCCTTCAGTTTTTAAAGGGTTGACCAATGAATTTGTGATAAATTCTCACCCAAAGCAGACCTCCCCTAAAATGGAGCTAATATTCACTGCCCAGAAAAGTAGCCATATGAAACTGCAGCTCTCTGCAAAACGGCTAAATAGTGCCACTTTCGGACCTGATTGCAATGGCAATGCTCAGAATTGGAAGCCCTGTGTCCGGCCAGAGGTTCAGTGCATCTTGTTTTAATCCCCCAATTCAATGTCTCTCAGAACTCTCTAATATAGAATATTTTGAGTGCATAAATATTATTAATGAGCTCGGTGGACATATTTCTGGCCTATTTGCGTGGGTGCACCCCGACCAAAGATTTTTTATCAAGAGTCGTCAGGACCGGACTAGACACCGTTGGCCGAGTTCGGACGGCTTGTTCTCGTATGTTCACGAACAGCTTGATTTGTCGTTCTTGGGTCGACCGCTCGAACGCCGGGAACGTACAATTCGTCATCGCTGGTAGTTGGTGACGAGCAACGTGGCGGCGTCCACATCGTAGTAAACTATTCGAGAGTTAATGCTTGGACAACTGGACTGAATTCATTTCTATTAAACAGGAACATTCACTTCTGTGTTGTGAAAAATAATAAATGTTAATTTTGCAAACTATGTTGTCTCCAACTTTGTAAACCATCTCTCTATTTTTTGCAGCTGTTCAAAAATCAAAGTCTTACGAGTTTTTCTGTGTGTTCCTGTAAAACCCTGACGAGGAGGTGGTGTGTGATCCTGTTCCGAGAACAGTGTTTCCGGGTCGTGTTCCCGCCGTTCGAACGCGAGAACAAGAAACCCGTGTCAAGAACACGGCGCCCGAACTCGACCTATGGGCTTCGACCTGGATCAAGGGAGGGCGCAATTTTCCCAGCAACGGAGGCTCCTTAGGTCAGAATTCGCTCATCCGAGTCGCCCAGCGCCCGAACAGTGCCAAAGCATTACCACTGGCAAACCAAAAAAATTAAATAATGCTTCGCTAACAGGTTGTGGTAACTTCGCAGTCACAAGTCGTGCACAATGTAGTCAATAACAGTGCAAAGCCATAAACCCTTCCCAGTGCCCTGTTCGAGGGTTGGAAATGAACCGTTCTCCAGTGCACGAACGACCTCGAAATGCACACGTCAAGGTCGCATCGCTACCAACAAAATGAACATTCTGCTTGAGGCGGATCACTGCAAATGTAAAGTTTCAACTCAATCTGACTAAGTATTTGTCCCTACGGTCATTTACAAGTACAAAGCCACACGAGTGTGTAGGCACGTGCGCATCAAGCACGACAAAGGACAAATTACACATTTTTTAACTGACCTGTTTCTGAAAAATCGGTGCGGCGTAAAAGCAGTCAGTTGTAGCAAAAAGTGTATAAAAATACGTTATTTACAAATCGAAATGCACGTTGAATGTAAATCAATGTCCTGTTGCGATATCGAGGACACTGTGAGCTTGGAAGGATTACGTACCAAATCTGTTAGGGTCGACACAAATCGTTTTCAAATAAGCAGTCTTCCAACGAATAAGTTCACTTAATTAAATTGAGAGAGCTATTTGTTTCATCAAATTCTTAGCAGAACTGGGAAGGATTTAGATCAAAATACTTGCCAACATTTCGACTATGTATTCATGTACATTTTTGTATTAGTTGTTTCTCATTTGTTATGGCCTAAGGTGGACCTTCCGATGAAAGAAAGGCAGAACAATAAGTGACGGAAAGCACATAAATGTCAAACTTTTACATTTCATTTGAGTGGTCCGATTAGTAATAGATTGTAGATAAAAGTAGGAAAACTTAAAAGCAGATGCAATTTACTCGCAAACACAAAAGAAATATCGTCTATTTCCTGACAACTACATTTAAGACAGTCCTACACAAATATCAGTAGAACAATAAAGGGGAATAACATGATCAATGTTGAGTATAGGAATATCACATGAATTATTAGACGGTAACCTTAATTAACAGCAGCCGACATGGTCTTTTGCATGAGAAAAGAAATCTCCATTTCTGAGGGGAGAAAGTCTGTAGCCCTTCATCCTAGGTTAGCTTGGGTTCACTGGCTTTTTGCAAGAGACCCTGGATTTATTGCCTGAGTGCTTAAGCGTTTGAAAAGCTCGGTCTTTGGGATAAATTACTTCGAACACCAACCCCCCCCGCTTTAAATTTCCACGGGTAGGTATTTTTAAATTTATTTATCGCCACCCCCCGTAATACATCGTTTATATAAGTTGAATTTTCCTAAAGTGGCAGCGGTCGGCGGGACTTTGTGGAAAACCTGTGTTTAAAAGTCGGTGGCAGTTGTTTTGCATGTTTTCACTTGGTATTTTTGTCTTCTCGCTGTGTAATTAGCGATGTTATTGTTACTGCTCTCATATTTGTTATACTGGTTTTCATATAGTTGATGTGTAATAGATCTCGAATTTATGTATGCATATATTTTCATATTTTTTTTATTTAATGACTATGCAAGCATTAAAAGGTGCAGTAAACTATAACTTGCAGTTGCCACATCATACTTGAATTGAACAGTTAAAGTTAAAGACGGAATATTGAAAATGTACTATTTAATATCTACAAATGAAACAGAATAATAAAAATACCTTTTGCTCACGAAAATAGTTTTGAAAGCAGTGATAAGGGAAAAGGACCTTGGTTTGAACAAATTGAAGGATCCGCGCGACTTTGAAAGCGTTTTTATAAAAATCCCCCCTCCTGAAAAATTCATGGAAGCAGCAGGAATTGGTCAAAAAGTACATTTCAGAAATGCGTTGAGGTGACGGTGTAGCTGGTGCAGATAGACGCGTATGCAGTTTTCGACCTTATAGCACCCCTCTCTTAGACAAAAATTGGGAAAGGAAAAAAATGGATGAAATATTTATAAAAAATAACTAAAGTAAGTGCACCAATACCATTGTCAATAATCATGGCATGTATAATGCTTCATCATTGTTTCTGCTTGTCCAAAAAGACATTAGAAAAATCTCCGGCTTGACCCCACCCCGGAAGATTGTCTGGATCCGCCCCTTTGGATACAGAACCGTCAAGAAGTTTGGTTGCAATCAACACAGAGTTTGGATTGTCTCTGTCGTTGCAGGTGTTTCAGAGGCGCCAGGACGGGTCAGTGAATTTCACCCGTAGCTGGGCAGAATACCGCGATGGATTCGGTAATCTGACAGGGGAGTTCTGGCTGGGTAATGAGTATCTTCGCCAGCTCACCGGGGAAGGCAGATGGGAGCTGCTGGTGGAGCTGCTTGTACGTAAAGCGGACGAGTCATTGGCGAGATACCTGATGTGGTACCGGACATTTCACATCACTGGTGAAAAATACGCCTTGCACGTTGGAGATTATAAGAATATGCCACGCCTACCCGTATGTGATGTCGAAACCTGCCAATCAGCTGGTACGTAAACTAATAAGCTAATCATCTTCAGTTTGTTTTGAAATTGAAATGCACGTGGTGTGGAGTTTCGGAGATACATTATCAACAACTTTAATTCTTCCAAGAATTGTGCACTTTGAGATTCATACTGTCATTGAAACCATTATATTACCAATAAAAATTGGTGTTTCCACAAAGCCTTATCGTCAGTTATTCAGTGTATGTTTCTATGTTTCAACGATAACTCTGTAACGCAGTAACATAAAAGTTCATTTAAGCTTCGTAGTGTGCTGATTCTTGGCAGCCATTCTATTGTGTCGCTGATTAGCAAGCACATCCATTTTATTTACACGAGCCTATAAATGTAGGATTAGAATACGTCGTGTACCTGGAAGAAGGTCGTAAGCGCTTGCGTACTTTTGACGGGAAACATAATCGCTGCAAAAGGACGTATGTATGCAACTGTATTATATTAATGAAATATAAAGATTTCTTTGGAAATTGTTCCAAAAAAATTCCCAAGTCGTTTGATACCGGTAAGTTGTTCAAAGGTTGGTTAAATTTTATCCGTTTTTACTAAATAAAGAGAGCGTGTTTCTTATTCCCTTTTACTGGGAACATTTTTTCTACTGTGATCATGCTTCCAGGCAAAAGGTTGTAAGCGCGCTTACGGCCTTAAGATTGATCGGACATACATAGAAAGGGTTACCAGAATAGATGAAGTCTTCCGAAAAGCAAATATATTGCCTCATACACATGCAGTATGCAAATTATGGAAACTGACGCCAGATCTACGCATCGTACGGACAGAGCAGTTTTATCGCCAGGTTGAACAATAATCCGAGTTTGTTCTCTGCCGTCGCGTTTCCCGCCCGAACACTATCACAAATTATACATTTAAATTACAATATCAGAGCATGTGATCGTTATGCCCCCTCCAATAGTGTAACTGCGGGGGTTGCATGTCCTCCAGTAGATGCCTGGCCAAAATTGTTCAAATCGCTAAGCAGCTTAGTCCGAGGAAGCTGGAGGTCGAATTCTCGCTTCCGGCCACTTCAGACCCCATGTCCAAACATACTGCCCATAGTAGCAATAAATCGTTTGATAGGCTTCAGATTATTTTAAACAGTGTGTATAGTATTAGCATGGAGGAACCTCCTTCCTCCATGGTTTGAGCAAACTTTCAACCACGACTTCATTTTAAACATTGACCTTTCCTTTCAAAATTCAAATGTTTGTGCTCATATCCAATCAAACTCAAACCGCTACTCTAGAAACGCATTACTGAATCAAAACGTTTAAATTCAATTGAATATTTCCAAGGTGCCACTCTAAAAATCACAGATACACAGTGTAAGGTTAAAGCTGTATTTTAAGTGTTCAGGTTTTTAAATTTTATTTTCCCTTTTCCAATGATTTTGATATGATCTAATGAATAAGATTGCTTTTTGCATTTGCAGGTCTTCACCAATAACTCTTAAAACTGGTCTTATATATTGCACTAATACCACGCTCCAGTTCAGGAAGTTTTGATCGAAGTGCTTCAGATATTCATATAAGTGACGTAGTAGCCGATCGGTATGTCAAAGTCTCTTGTGGGTGCAGTCCACTAATTCCNTTCAACATCACTGGTGAACAATACACCCTGCACGTTGGAGATTATGATAAGATCCAACGCCTACCCGTATGTGATGTCGCAACCTGCCTATCAGTTGGTACGTAAACTAATAAGCTAATCATCTTCAGTTTGTTTTGAAATGCACGTGGAGCGGAGTTTCGGAGATACATTATCAACAACTTTAGTTCTTCCAAAAATTGTGCATTTTGAGATTTATATTGTCATTGAAACCATTATATTATCAATATAATTCGGTGTTTCCACAAAGCGTTATCGTCAGTTCAGGCCTTATTGATCTTTGAAATCATTGTTATTCAGTGTGTGTTTCTATGTTTCAACGATAACTCTGTAACGCGGTAACATAGAAGTTCATTTAAGCTTCGTACTGTGTTTTTCCAGCCATTCTTTTTTGTCGCTAGTCAGCAAGCACATCCATTTCATTTACACGAGCCTATAAATGTAGGATTAGAATACGTCGTGTGCCTGGAAGAAGGTCGTAAGCGCTTGCGTACTTTTGTCGGGAAGCATAATCGCTGCAAAAGGACGTATGTATGCAACTATATTATATTAATGAAATATAAAGATTTCTTTGGAAAAAGTTCCAAAAAATTCCCAAAGTTGTTTGATACTGGTAAGCTGTTCAAAGGTTGTTTAAATTTTATCCGTTTTTACTAAATAAAGAGTGTGTGTTTCTTATGCCCTTTTACTGGGAACATTTTTTCTACTTTGATCATGCTTCCAGGCGAAAGGGCGTTAAGCGCGCTTACGACCTTAAGATTGATCGGACATACTTGGAAAGGGTTACCAGAATAGATGAAGTCTTCCAAAAAGCAAATATTGCCTCATACACATGCAGTATGCAAATTATGGAAACTGACGCCAGATCTACGCATCGTATGGACAGAGCAGTATTATCGTCAGGTTGACAATAATATGAGTTTGTTCTCTGTCGTCGCGTTTCCCGCCCAAACACTATCACAAACTATACATGTAAATCACAACATCAGAGCATGTAATCGTTAGGCCTATGCCCTCCTCCAATAGTGTAACTACGGGGGGTGCGTGCCCTCCAGTAGATGCCTAGCCAAAATTGTCCAAATCGCTAAGCAGCTTAGTCCGAGGAAGCTGGAGGTCGAATTCTCGCTTCCTGCCACTTCAGACTCCATGTCCAAACATACTGCCCATAGTAGCAATAAATCGTTTGATAGGCTTCAGATTATTTAAACAGTGTGTATAGTATGAGCATGGAGGAACCTCCTTCCTCCATGGTATGAGCAAACTTTCAACCACGACTACATTTTAAACATTGACATTTCCTTTCAAGATTCAAATGTTTTCAAACTCAAACCACTACTCTAGAAACGCATTACGGAATCAAAACGTTTAAATTCAATTGAATATTTCCAAGGTGCAACTTTAAAATCACAGATACACAGTGTAAGGTTAAGGCTGTATTTTAAGTGTTCAGGGTTTTAAATTTTATTTTCCCTTTTCCAATGAATTTGATATGATCTAACGAATAAGTTTGCTTTTTGCACTTGCAGGTCTTCACACAATGGTTCTTAAAACTGGTCTTATATATCGCACTGATACCACGCTCCAGTTCAGGAAGTTTTGATCGAAGTGCTTCAGATATTCATATTAGTGACGTAGTAGCCGATCGGTATGTCAAAGTCTCTTGTCTCTGGTCAGCGCACGCATCGATTTCAAGCATGCGCGTAATTTTTCCCTCAGTGCTGCAACAGCGCCCTCCTTTGCTGCACTGCCTCAAATTTTGCAGCCAGCTCGATCTTTTACTCAAGACGATAGATCTCAAGGATATCATTTTTAAGCAATGATAGCAGACTATGGACAGTTGTTTGTTGTCAGCTTATTATCATAAAAAAAAAATGGTCTAGTTCCATGACTCGACAACGTGTGCCTGCAGTTGCCTGTACAATCCCACCCTGAAGGGGGGAGTCAATTCCCGAACATCAGTCTGACCAGAGACAAACGTTTTTGTTTGGCCTTAAATCGAAGTTCAAGAACAGAATTATGCTCCATTCCATGCTGGGCTCTGCCACACTTCAAAGGATCGATAGGCTCCAAAGTTTTTGTGTGTATGAAAATTGAATGAAACCTTTTGTTGCCATATACAAAGGTACATGGAGCATGGAGAGAATGAAATATCTGTTCCGTCTTCCCCAACGCTTTAATTTAGGAAAACAGAGCTATGTTATCGTTATTCGTGTATTGTGCATGAACTCAACTGTCTAGGAGAAACTTTGGGCTAATGGCTTCCAGACGGATCCTGCTTCAATACTGAACTTTTCCAAGTGCCACTCAACAGTGTTGGGAGCACGTCGGACTGTCCCTGAAATTGCAAGATTCACACTAGTTGGAGACGAAGCCATTCTTCCAAGAGATTGTTTCCAGAAACAGAAAAGTATATTTTAGGTTAGGTTAGGACCTCCCGTTGCTGCACCCTGCTGAGACTTTGGGATCCAGTGGATTCAAAAGAAAGAGAAAAAAGACAAAAAGACCTCGTAGACCCTATAGCTGCGGTTTAATCATATGTTATAAAACAAAATTATACCGTTTACCTAAGGAATTACAAGTGGAAGTCGGGGGGGGGGAACGATCGCCAATAAATATGTAACAGGCCTCTGTTGAACCTAAATGGTACACAAATCGTTCAATTAACTTCAGCCACTTTTTGCCTGCTCAAAAATCTGGGGAATCGAGATTCGATTAAAAAAGTGCACGTGCAGTTTTTTTTTAATTCTACTCAAACTTCCGTCTTGAAAATGCCAGTTATAGGAGACTGTTTCGGGGGACCAATTATGTCTCCGAATTAATGGATTTCCTCTGTTGTCCAACTTTGCTTTCTGTCTCTGTCTTGGCTGTGTTTTCATCATTTCCTTTCAGACGATCGTAGAACTTATGGTGGGCTAGTTTTTGTGGTCCCTCGATGCCTGCATGAATACAAAAATGATGCAAACTGCTTCCTTGCTACCTTGGCCTGAGATACAAATCGAAAAAAGAAGAGGGCCTGTGTCACCGTTCTAGATAACTTTGCAAGTTTAACCTTTACTTTAAAAAACGGCAACCCCAGATCCGGACCACAACACAGAAAACGAAATAAAAGCAAAACAGATTCAAGTGCTTTGTAATACTATATTATGTCAATTCAACTTCCAGTTATTCTCTACTTTACTTTATGTACAATTCTTTATCAATACTGACTCTTTCCTAAAAAAAAAAAAACAGCTGAAATCTGGTTTATTATATCTCAAAGTCCGATTACTTTCTTATTTCCAACTTGTTAGAACAGTTTTTAAAGCAGCTGTACTTCGCTAGTACTTTAAGTCTTTATACCGGTATATTTAAACAAAATAATTGCAACAAACGTTGAGGCAGTGTCACAGTCAA